TGTACTGATCTGAATTATAATATTTCTGACTGTCAAAATTTCCCAGATTCAAATCGAAGTGAATCGAATCGAATCGAATCGAATTAAATCGAATCGTGGATCGAATCGATTCGGGACCTTGTGAATCGGAATTGAATCGATTCTAGAAATCAGTGACGATACCCAGCCCTAGTCGTTGGCCCACTGTTGATCCTCCGCCTAATCACATGAGCCAAGGTGTGAAACAGGTGTCACTATCAGCCAATGCTGTGACACCTAGTCCCATCCTGTCATGTGACTTACTGAGGTCAGATGGTCCAGGGTGTGAGTGGGCGTTAAGGCGTCTGGGAAGGATCCCATCCTCAGTGTGAGAGGATACAGAGCTGCTCTGCTGACAGCACTGCCTCCTCGTGGAGGCTATGGAGCGTGATCCCTGAAGATGGAGCACGTCCTCTGTTGAGGGGCCAGATCTGCTCCTTATCTGGATTATAGATGAATATTATTTGCTATTGATATCTATTGACAGTGTATTGATTTGTCCAGGAGCTGCCCTCTGATCCCATATTTATCATCATCAGCGTCACGTGATTTTCTGAAGGTCAGTAAACGCCACACAGCAGATTCTCCAGTTTTCACTGCATTTAATTTAAAAAAGATCTTTGTTTACATAAATAAATAAATACATAAATAATCTGAATAAATATATAAATAAATAAATAGAGAGGGGAACATCAGAAACAGTCTTTAGATATTGTGTCAGTGTTGCGTTGCTGCAGAGCGTGCTACTGCATGCTACTGATGGAGGTCTCTTCCTGTTAAAAAGGAGTTCTTCCTCCCTACAACCACTGAATGCAGCTCAGTTTAAATGAGACAGAATTTATTTCAGTAACTTATTTTAAAAAAGTAAAGCATATGAAATGTTAATACAAAAAAATAAATAAATAAGACCAATCTAAAGTAAAAAGTCAGAGTGACTAAAATGCACGACAGAAATATTTGGAAGACAAAGTTTCTGTACTTAAAGCACTGAGTTACTCTGAAGCAACAAACAAACAAACAGTGTTTGAAGAAATATGTAGAAAAATAAATAAATATTTCAAATAAATACATAAATAAATAAATAGAGAGGGGAACATCAGACACAGTCTTTGGATATTGTGTCAGTGTTGCGTTGCTGTTGCGTTGCTGCAGAGCGCCTCCTGCTGGCAGCAGATGGAGGCCACGAGCAGCTCCAGCTGTTCCAGGCGCAGTTCGGTTTGGTTCCTGAGCAGCTGCCATGACGCAGTACTGCAGCCCTGTACACACAGTACTACACTTATTACCACTGTCACTACACACAATAATACAATGAGTACTACAGTACTTGTACTTACAGAGCAAGACAGAGTACTGTTGGCCAGAGTCCTGTAGTAGCTCCTCAGTCTGCTGTTGGCTGGACTGTTGGTGGAAACCTGGAGACAAAGAACAGTTCAGACTGAGGCTCGGAAAGGAGGTGAAGCACTGATGAAGAGGAGGCTCTGGGAGGAGGTGAAGCACTGATGAAGAGGAGGCTCTGGGAGGAGGTGAAGCACTGATGAAGAGGAGGCTCTGGGAGGAGGTGAAAGGAGGTGAAGCACTGATGAAGAGGAGGCTCTGGGAGGAGGTGAAGGAGAGTGGGTGTGGGTGCATGTTTGCTCCTGTGAGTAGGCTGAAAGCAGTGAAGTGGGCGTGTCCACTCACACACGCGCTCAGTTCCGTGATCTGTCTGTGGATGACCGTCAGGAAGCCCTCCGTCTTGTCGGCGCCCCAGGGAGCGGCTGACAGGTTGTCATGGCGATACAGACAGAAAATAAGCTGCAGACTGTCTCTGATGAAAACCAGCTTTGACTCCACCTGGAGAGAGAGAGAGGTGAGCTGCAGGCGTCTGATTGGCAAACAGATGTGATGTCATCGATGTAGTCATGTGACCTACCTCAGAGTTTTTTATTTGCTTGAAGAGATCTTTTGGGAATCGAACCGGATGAACTGAAGAGTGCTGTTCAGTCAGCTGATCGCCCTGAAACAGAGAGACAGCGCTTCATTTCACCAATCATGACGTGTTGTTGACGTCCCCACATTCAGTCTACACACTAAACATGTGACCTGTGATGTTTACAAATGTCCTACAGGCTCTGAATGCATCGTTTTAGCTGTCAGTAAACTTTGTGTTGAATATTCATCACATCTGCAGACGAAGGTCTTATTTCAGTCAGGTTTCAGAGCCCATCACAGCACAGAAACACAACATCTCTAAAATTAGAAATATCCTGTCTCAGAGTGACGCTGAAAAACTAGTTCATGCATTTATTACTTCCAGGCTGGACGACGGTAATTCATTATTATCAGGATGTCCAAAAAACTC